TGCGGGATACTATGTGTCATCCAGGCCCAAGACACCTCAGAGCCAGTGTTTCAGCGCTGTTATTCCTCCCCATAAATCTTTCGGCAGCATTTAATCCTGTGTCATTTGCAACCGCATCCAGCTGTTTCATAGCCCACAGTAACCAGACATAAAATACACTTTTAAACAAACAGTTTAAAGATCCCAGCAATTGCTACAGTCCTGAATGAGCCACGGAGGGTGGGGGGGGGGAGGAAGAAGATTGCAGGCATGCTGTTGAATGATGATATATAAATTAAGGATTCCCCCAACTCTGGGACAAGCGACGGGCGCTCACTCCATCGCGTGGATTCGATCTTACGACTGCTGGTCTTCTGACCCTGCAGCACAGGCTTCTGCGGTTTAGCCCGCAGCGCCACCACGTCCCTACGAGGCTACGAGGTGATAATCACTGTGGTGCAGAGAAATACAGCATTATCACCAGCATTGATACCAAAGGCAAGCCATATATAGAACAAAATGGCACTGATAGTAGCATAGCCACTTAATACGTCCAACAGGTTAACCAAGAGGTTTCTCATAGCTGCGAGAAGTTCTTTGATCTGCTGGGAGAGGGAGATGTATCTCCTTGTCCAGTGCTTCCCAACCTTGGGTAACCCAGAGGTTCTTGGACTACAACTCCCAGAAATCCTGGCCAGCCCAGCTTGTGGTGAAGGTTTCTGGGAGTTGTAGAGATGGGCAGCTATCGCTTTGGATCAGTGGTTCTCAACTATTCATTCCCAAAAGTCCCAGCCGGCATGGAACCATGCCCATTGGGAGTTAAAGCCCTAGAAAGCCAACGGCAGAGAACAATGTTTTCTGGGTGGGATTGAACAACAACTTCCATGACTGCTCCCCATGGAAGGGGTGATGGGATTTGCAGGCGTAGAGCACAATATCTGGTGGGCTACACATTCATACCAGATGGGCCCCGAGCAACTGTGAAACGTAGCTCAGTGTGAGATACTTTTCGGAAGCTCATGAGTTCATGAGCCTCTCATAGTGTACGTCTGTTTGGGTAATGATGAATCGTGGATCTCCTATTTTCCATCATGTGGGGCCGGCTCTGCCATTAGGCAGAGTGAGGCATTTGTTGCGGTCGGTAAATCTCACATCATGTCGTGAAAGGGAAGTACAACTTTAATTTTAAAGTCTGCCTTTACTCTATGTTTTTACTGCCCGGGACAGAGAGGAGAGATGTGTCAAATGTTCTAATTTCTGGACTAAAATACACGAGGGGAGGAGTTATCCATTTGCTTCTTCACCTAAGGCCACCTCTGCTATTGTGGGCCATCTTTGCCCAGGCAAACCAATCTCGCCTGCAAATTCCTTACCACTATGAATTCCATGATCCCCAAGAATTCTTGATCCACAGCCCAGTAGGCTAGTAATCCAGCTGCAGTCCATTTCTGCTAAGGAAGGCTTGGGAAAAGGGGAATAAAACAAGCCCAGCAGGGAGATGGTACAGTTACTCAACAGACTTCTAGCATGTGGAGATGGCTGGGCTGGTTTCCAGACAGGATTTTGGTAGCAAAAGGCACTAAAGGTTCTGTAGAAATGCTTGTCGGGCCAGAGGGGGTGAAGGCCTGAAGGACTCATGAGATGAAGAAGAGGAAGAAGAGGGAGGGGTAGTGACAAGGCAAATATTTTTACAAAAGTAACCTGTTTTTTTAAAAAAAAAAAAGCAGGGGAAGGAATGTTTGTGCGGAAACAGTAGGCTGTGGTTTCACAAGAATTTCGCTGCCTTTAATTAAACTGTTTTATGAGGCTGGGAAGCCACTGGCATGCCTCATTATGCCCCACGATCTCCCCAAGCTTGGTGGAAAGCATTTCCAGACTTAACACGGAGAAAAGGTCAGAAGCGCCATCTTTAAAATGAAAAGAAGAGGGAAGGGGGGGGGAAAGGGTCGAGGTGGGAAAGGTAGCATTTTTCGGACACTAAAGAAGGCGAAACAATCATTTGGACTTGATTCCGACAACACCTAGATTAGCGGTCGAGTGGAAAAATATTCCAGGCGCCAAGACATTGGGGTAGCCAACTCTCAAGCTTTGACGTTTAGGCTCAAGTTCTGGAGTTTATTCGCTGTATCCAGATTTTGGGCCCATTTGCCCCCTTTCCACAAAGCAGTTCTACCCCTAAAACTTTTGCCTGCCTTGCCTCTGTGACATCATAAGAGCTTGAGCATGTGATACGACAAAGACCCGCCCCTTTGAAATCATCTGCTTTTGGGCTTCTGTTGCGCAGCTTCAGGAAGCGGGATGCTCTTGAGCCGACAATCCTGATTTGTTTGGGGTTTCATCCTGCCATCCTGCAGATCGCCTACAGCAAGGCATCCGATCTGCCTTCCTACTAGAGATGGGCGCGGACCACGGGTTTGGAGGTTCCGCGTGGTTCCTTTCCCAGCCGGACAGTTGATCCATGGTTTGGCACCCTGCCCCCTCCAACGGGCACCGAATCGGTGACAGTGCCCCATCCCACCTCCTTCAGGTGCTGCCTCCCACTGGGTGCCTGCTGGAGGGAGGGAGGGAGGCACCAAACCACAAATCAGTGGGTTGGCCAGGAATCAAACCATGCCAAACCACCAAACCGACAGTCCGTACCCATCTCTACTTCCAACCCCATCTGCTCAAGTGCCTTTAGAGACGGTGGGTTACTTAGCTTCAGCCAATGGGCCTTGGCCTTTAGCTGTCATCCCTTGAGACAAGAGAAGGGAATTTTTGCCTCTGTGAACCGCGCTTTGCATCTGTTCGCCCAGGGTGGTCCAAAAAAAAAAAGAGAGAGAGAGAGAGGACCTTTTACCAGCTCTCGATAATTGGTGGGTAGAAATCCCAAAGAAAGGGAGAGCCATTGAAATGAATGGATTCAACTTCCCATTGAGTGCTAATGTAATGTAAATGTGGAGTGCTCTCTTTAAGCCGCGTCTGACTTAATGGGCCCTAATGAGGTTTTAGAAAGCATGTGAGATATTCAAAAAAAGTGGCTTAAGCCTGCCAACTCCCAGTCAGTTTCCATGCATGGGGAAGGGGGGGTTGGCGGCAGGTGGGACAAGCCAGAGGGTCACCAATGAGAGGTAGCACATCTCCCACAACCACTCTGTCCCAAGGAAGGATCTAACCCTGCCTTGCTAGCTAATTGTGGTGCTGGCAGCCAAGCGCCCTCCTGCCATCCCGGATTTGAGCTGAGCTTGGTTTCCGCAAACCCACATGGGCACTCTGTGGTGCGAGAAATACTTTCCATATGAGCTTCTGTAGCCCCTCTGGCCAAGGCAAGGCAAGTCACAGGGGAACGGCCATACCGCCATAGGAGAACACATGTTCGCACGTGAGAGATCCCCTCTTTAAAGAGCTCCTTCAGGGCACCACAGCTCCCCGAACTGTGCAGTCTGGCCTCGGAAAAAAGGAACTTCCTTAAGCCCTTGGAAAGAATCGGCTTAGAAGCCTGGCTTCCCATCTGCCGGTCGGTGACAACATCGGAACGGGACTCAGGAGCATTCCTTTGTCGGACATCCACCTCTAGAGTCCCCCACCGCCATGCCCCCCCAAAAAAAGTAACTTTTGGGAGCCCTGCAGGAGACACAACTCAGCCAGATGCTTTCGCTTCATAGAAGGCAAGCTTCCTGTGTTCTGTCTAGCCGCTCGCTCGAATAACAATCAACAGGAAAGTTAAAGACGCTCAGCCACAGCCATGCCGTGGCCAGCCTCCAGGCGCTGTGATCATCAAAGCATTCAAAATTAGTCCAGACTTCAGTCCGAGGCGACCTGGGCTTTCATGCAATTATATCGGCCGAGGCATTTCCCACCCTGGAATGACTTCCAAATCAAGCTTTTGTTTCAGACACAGGCTGACCAATTAATCCCGCATCTCCTGAAAACACAAGCACTAAGCACGCACAGCGCAGTGCGCTGGTAGCGAAAGTGAGCCGCAGCATCAGCCCGGCGGCTGGAGGCGCAGATGCGAACTCCCCTGATGTGAGCAGGATTTTGAGTTGGGTCAGATCTCTTGGAAACATTTTGACAGACAGACAGACAGACACAGACACAAAAATCTCTTGGAAACGTTTTGACAGACAGACACACACACACACAAAGGGCATCATTCCAAAACAGAATATTTGCCCTTCCCTGGGAGCTGAGTGTTGCTGTTGATTTTTTTTTAAAAAAAATTAGATCATTTGCACACTAGACGATTTCTGCCCACTGATTGTTACACACGGAGCTAAAGGCATGTAACTTTTGTCTGAGACAGCAGCCGACAGCCAGGAAGAAAGTTATCGCCACCCTTTACAACATTTAAGCCATTCCTTACCCTCCGAGTCCTTCCAAATCTGTCTCGGCGTCTCTATAACGCCTCTCAGAGATTTCTGAGTTAACAATGTTCAGTTCATCTTGGAAAACGCTGGTCGAAAACATCCACCGGAGCCAGCACCGTTTATTTCCAAGGAGCCTGCCTTCCACCAAACACAAGCTCAGAGTTAAACCAGACCGAGCGTCCAACTTCAGATATTTCGAATGTAACCCAACGCATTCCAAGCAAAAACCACCGAAGGGCATTCCAAAGCATTCCGGCAGTTTTTCACTGTTCTTGGGCTAGTGAATCTGACCTGTGGTCGGGGCTCTGCGCTCCTTGCTAGCAAAGGCAAAGACTTCTCCCCAAGCTGGACAACAAAATGAAGAATCAATCATTAAGGCACATTTTTAATCATAGGGTGGTCTAATCCTGCACAGGGCAGTAAACGGTCAGTTTGCCCTTCAGAATAATTCCTCATCCCAGTCCTGTAACATCTAACTGCAAAGGAGGAAAACAGATCACAATGCACCTCCTTGGCCACTGGACCCACTTCCCAAGGTTTCCCTCCTCTGCCTTCCTTTAGCACGAATGGTATTATTGACTACACCGGTCTCTCTTTTTGACAGTCAGGACAGGACAGGCGAGAACCCCGAAACGGGTCAAGTTTTGGGCAAGGCGTGAATGCTCAACTCACCTCTTCCTCGGGCTGCGTGAAGGCTTCAAAGTAGAGCAAGGTCAACACCAGGTAGCGGGCAAACATGTTGGACCAACTGAGCACAACGGCCCTAGAGGTGGGCCCTCTCGGTGCCAAGGGCTAACAAGCAACAGATGTACAGGATGCCTTCAAAGTCTCCCAGTCCTCCCGGGCCGCCAGCACTCAATGCATCGCTCTCCCTTGCTTTCTTTTTCTCTCTCTCTTGTCTTGTTCGCTGTGCGCTAAGTAGCAGGAGCTTCCAGGCTCAGCCGCTCGCCGGGCTCTGAAGACAACTGGTAAGTTGATCTTTCCACGTAATGACTTCTCCCTGCTCCCAGAGAGGGGGGCACAGACGACAAGCGAGGAGCTGGGGAGAGAGAGGTAGTGGTGTGTGTGTCTCTCTGTGTGTGTGTGTGTGTGGTGGTGTGTGTGTCTCTCTCTCTCTGTGTGTGTGTGTGTTACTGGTATTAAGTAAAGAAGGGGAGGGACCAGAAAATTAGCAATGACAAGTCTGGCATCTGTTCTGATTTATGCAACTTTAAGATATTACACCAACTTTTCTTCTTTTCCCCCCTTCCCCCAGTGCAAGGAATCTCACCAGTGCCTTATTAACTTAGGCAGGCATGACTGGAGAATCTAAGGCTGAAGGTGCCTCCGGACAAGGAAAACACGTCCAAGTTGGATTGTCGCACTGCCGTTATACTGCTCTCCTCTGTCCCATTCTCTCCAGAAACTGACCAGCACTTTTGATTGGGATGTGCACAACTCCACCAATGACAAATCGCCAAGTCTTTGGGCAACCTTAATTTTGCAGGAGATCTTTCTAAGGCATCTTTCAAGGCAGATGGATCTATGTCTCAAGCTCAGCCCCCACTGGGGACGAGCTTGGAAAAGTGACCCTAGTGTAAGACATTGCCCGGGAGGCCATCCATCTCATCCATGGTTACCCCCTCCTTACCAAGGGAGGCAGATAAGTAATGCCTGTGGCAAGGAAACTGAGCAGAGAGCATTGGACGAAGTGGAGGGGCAACAGGAGTTTGACCTACCAGATCCACTCTCTTCGCAGCTTGAATTTACATAAAGACTATGTGCTGGGCGTAGACGCAGATCCATGTTTTTACTCCTGTGGGTACAACAGAAGAGTTTGAGAAACGTATTGTTGTCATCTACAACCCCGAAGAAGTCCCAGTGGCAATGGTCATTGGGGAAGGGGTGTGTGTGTGTGTGTGTTTGTGTGTGTGTGTGTATGTGTGTGTGTGTGTGTGTGTGTGTGTTTTAATTTATATACTGCTTCACTAGTACACTGCTCTCTTCTGGGCAGTATACAACAAATAAACACAACAACAATCCATCAAATTAAATTGAAATAAAAACACACTGAGAATACCAATAAATTCAAATTTCAAATACCTCCTGTCTCTGTTGTACACAGCCAAGTTCTTTTTGCTACAGACTCACATCTACCATTGACTGCCCATAACATTTACTTTAATATACACAGTCAGATGCTAAGGAAACCATCAGGCCCACCTGCAGGGCCTGGCATCCTCAGATGGGAGACCAGGGCCCCAGCTCTTTCCTACCATGGGCCACAACGAACCCCTATTTTAATTTCTCCCAGGCTGAGCACCAAGGAACTGAGTTTTGTCGCCAACTCAGGCTCCCCAACTGTGCTGCCGACACAGCATTGTTTCGAAGCATTATGGGAAGTTAAAACAGCAGCACTCAATGCTGAGGACAGCATTGCTACCAGAAGCTGACGTTGACAACCTGTCAAGGTCTAGCAGAGAGCCCTTGGCCAAGGTTCTCTGAAATCTGAACTGGGGTCTGATGACAACAAGCTCTCCGACATTAATACCGGGCAGAGCTATTGCCCTTTCCAAGGGCAAAAAGGTTACCCCATTCACTTGCTCCCTTCCTTGTTTATAAAAGAAATGAGATGAGGCGGGAACATCTCCAGAAGATGGTCTCCTGACCCAGTGGTCTCTGCTCAACTTCCCTTTCTACAGTTTGTTATGAGCTCCTTGCATAGCTCTGACAAACTCTCACCTTGGGCAAAGTTCAGCCCAGTTTTGCCCCAGAACACATGCTCAAAAGAAAGAAGTGAAGAAAGAGCTCACAGCACCAAGGGAGCTGACATGGACACCTCAGGACAACTGAAAACCTTGAAGACTTCTTTGTTTGAAGGGCTCCTCTCTCATATCTTCAAGATTCTTCAGATCAGTGGAAGTGGATTAGAGAGCCTTGCATTGCACAAAAAATAATCCAAAATATCTCATCACACACATCTTCCTTCCTGCAACTGCAAGTCACTCTTGCTATCTCTGCTTGAACCAATAAATGCAGTTTCAAGTACGAGGGGTCAGAGAGAAAGCAGAAAGCAAAGCATGCTGCTTATATACTGCACCATAGCACTTAATACACACTCTGGGATGCTTACAATTGAATTATATAGGCTATGCATTGCCCACCCTCTCGAGCAAGGTGGGTACTCAATTTATCAACCTCGGAAGGCTGGAAGGCTGAGTGAACCTCAAGCCAAGGATTGAACCTGGGTCATGAGTACAGTTTTGGCTGCAGTATTGCGGTTTAGCCACTGCACCGCAAACGCTGTGTCATCACTCTCCACCACACATGTCTATAGCAGTATCTCTATAGCGGTTCTCTGGATCTCCCTGGATACAGGCTAATGTTTGCCTTGTCTTCTTCTTCCCTCTCCAAGGCATCCACAAAATGCAACAGCATTTGGGGAGAACAATAAGAACTCCAGAAGCCGGTGATGCTAGCTGTTGCCTAGAATCAAAACAATCCCCCTTTTAAAAGATTCTTCAACCCTGTTTTTGACCTGACTTTTTTCTTTCTTTCATAAGAACACAAACCAGTTATTAAAGTCTGTGTGATGAAAGCAACCTTGAAGATGTTGGGATAATTCTCTTCTCAACCTTCTGTTGTAGATCCAGACAACACCACTTCCAGGAAAATGAAATCAATTATGGAAACTGGTTCTTCTTATCCTTCCCCTTGCCCCATTCCCGTTAATTAATGGGATTTAGCCTGGTTTTTTTTCTGAAGACTATCCTACCCTTCTTGTATAAATCAAGTGTGGAGGACCTGATGCCCAAGGGCTGGGTGCGGCCTTCCACTGGCCCCCATATGGCCCTGCTGGGTTGCCAGCTCCCTGCCCAGAACACCATCATTCCATGGTTAGGATTGAGTGCATATGTTGGTGAAAAGATGGTGGTTGTTGTTTGGGCTTTGAGTGGATAGGTCACACCATTAGGTCACTGTGTAGCCCCCATGCACACTTTTTAGGTCATAACCACTTACATTTCCTCTCTGTTCATGAGAATATTTGTAGGATCTGGAAACACACAGATAGCATGGATGGAAAGATGAAGCAGACCAGGATGCCTTAAAAGCAGTGGTCCCCAACCTTGGGCCTCCAGATGTTCTTGGACTACACCTCCCAGAAGCCTTCACCACCACCTTTGCTGACCAGGATTTCTGGGAGTTGAAGTCCAATAACTTGGAGGCCCAAGGTTGGGGACCACTGCCTTAAAGAGTATGGGGCAGGTTGGCCCCAATCTTTACACCCTTTATTTGGATCCAGACCAGATGAGTGGAGGGGAGGACCTGCACATCCCTGTATATCATACTTTTTTTAACCTTTACTTTTATTGGATTTTTACCTCACCCCCCCCCCTAGACAAGGTCTACTCGGGGCGGCCCCTAGACAAGGTCTACCCGGGGCGGCTTACATACATAAAAACATAGCAAAACAACATCCTAAAAACATTTAAAACATCAAATTTTTCATGGTGTTAGATGATGGTTTTAGTGAACCAAAAGAATATATATGCAAGAATATACGTAAATGGAACTCAGGAACATATTCCCAGTAAAAGTACACATGGTGTAGCATTGGTTTCAACCCCAAAATGTCCTCGGGAAACAGATAGGAATCAACCGCAGCGAAGGAATGAAAAAACTTCAAATCCAATGACACGATGCGATGCAAATTTCCAGAGCCTGCTAGGGAGACAGGCAGAGAGCAGGCAACAGGTACACCCTCTTCATGATGCATGGCTGAGATCTGAGATAGAAAGGCAAAGCCCAAAATCAGGGATGACCAATGGTGGCCCTTCAGATTTCATTAGATCATACCTGGCCTGCATCAGGATGGTCTAATGGTCGAATGTGTCATCCCCATGGCATCCAGAGGGCCAATCTCCCTACCCTGGGCCTACAACAGCATCTGCATACAGATGATACTGGCGTGTTGAGATCTGAAGAGATCACACCCACCCCAGCAACAGATCCCAGACAAACTCAACAAGAATAGATCCCTGATTGATGTGAAAAAATGGAAGAACATCAAGATCCACTTAATATGGACTGAAATCCTACTGTACAGCTATATTGACGCAACAACATACAAGATGCCGTCACCACCAGCAGATCTCCCCTAAAGACTTCCTTTTACAATTTTGGGGTCCACCCAGCTGGTGCACAATGACGCTCCCCGAAATCACAGAAGGAAGCCTCGAAGCAGCAGCAATCCGCCCCGGTTGACAATGCTACTCCCGTTGCCCAGGTAAACCCCGTCCAGCAGGATTTCAGCCACCGCGTTGTTGGTTCTGAACTTGCACTTCGCAGCCGCACAGTTAAAACGAACAAAAGCTGCTTGAATGGTGGGAAAGAGTTTAATCTACGCTGCATACTTTCTATTCAGGCAACATCCACATCGTTTGGCAAAACAGCCAGGTGTGGACAAGAGCCTACAGCATTCCCAAGAATGGTTGGGGTGGGGCAGAGGGGGAGAACAGTGTCACTGGGGCTTTCCCCCTCTCAACCCAATCAGGTCTCCGTTTACTGCAGGAAAGCCAAGGCTGAATAGCTTAGCAAATGGATTACTCATGCTCTTTAAAATGAAAGATACATATGTTTAAGTGCTTTCCTGGATCTAAAGGCCAGCTGAAGACTGAAGATTTCTTCTCTTCGAGATGACACATACACCCCCTCCGCACCACAGCAAAAAAATTCTGCAGACCATAAAATGGACCTTCGGGGTTCTTCCCCGTCCCATTCCAGACTAAATTTTCTTCACCTTTTTGCCCCACACATTGTTGTCATCCTTCCAGTTTTGCAAACACACAACTGTTGGCTTCTGCCATAGGCTGGAAGCAATTTCCTCTCCATCCATATTACACAGCAGCCAGAGGGTGACTCAAGCGGACAGCTGTTTAGATCAAATGCATGCATGTATTTAAAATCTGCTGACTCTCCGTTCCCCCG